TTTTGTTTGTATCTGTATATATTATTTTGTTTTTTTTGATATTGTATTTGATTTCATTAATTTCCAGAAAATTGGCAAAGATGTTTATATCTTTTTGTGGGTCTTTATATTTGTTACCTAGAAGAGCCAGATTATCCATATAAGCAAGAACATTAAATTTGATTTCTGATAAGGGGTGAAGTAGTTTAGATATTAGGGGTTATAGAATATTATCCACCAAAGTGGAGCAAGGGTTTTATCCTGTTCTATACTATTGTTGATTTGAAATTTGCCAGAAGAGAAACTGTTAAGATTCACTTCTATGGTTGTATTTGAAAAAAGATTTTAAGATATATTTTTGAATTAGGAAGGTAGGTTTATTCTGATTATGACCTTGTATAAGCTGTCAAAGAAATATGAATCAAACACTTTTGTGATATTAAAAAAAACTACCCATATATATTTATTTAGGTTTTTGGCTTGGTTAATTGAGAAAAATATTAAAAAGAGAGGTTCAAAGGTACACTAATCAGGGAGTTCTGCAAAGTTGGCTTTGAATAGTATATTGATTTTTGATAATTTTAGAATATCTGGTATTAATTATTTTGGTAAAGATTTTTCTTCCTAAGTTTAAAAGGGTAATTGGTCTGGTGTTAATAATATTGTATGTTCATATTAACTTTTTAGAGAAGAGGCATATATTTGTTTCTTTTTATTTGCCAGAAAATTGTTTACTTTGAAAAATAGAGTTAAGAACTTTTAGGATTATGGGTTTTGTCTCAGTAGTTAGAAATTTTCAAGCTTCATATAGGATTCTGGATGAATCTGATGTTATTGTAAATATTGTGATTGATTAAAAGATTTTTATATTGTTACTGGATATGGTAAGTCTGTCACTAATCCGAAGCTCAGGCTCATATATAGGTATAGATAAGGATCTTGAATTACTTGTACACCAAAAGTACTTATTAATAAACTTCTCTTTAGATACTATTCTAATTTATACTACAAGCCCTTGTGATTTCTTAAGATTTTATCAGTGGCAAGTACTAATTAAGCAAGTTTATTATTATATTGGTGCAATTACAAGTTTATTCAATATTAAGTTGACTCTGCCTATCTTATAGTATCACAGATATAGATTTCTTGCTTGATTCTCCTTTTTCATTCATCGCCAGTGATCTACTACTATTTATAATAGTGCTGATATGTCTATTCTATTCATGAGATGTCCTGTAACTGGCTGATGTATAAATTGATACATCAGTGACGACACATCATGCCAAAGTCTAAATTACTATACAAATCATAAAAACATCTATAACTACTATATAAAAATGTATAATTTTTATGTCAACAGTATGTATCCTTTTATTTATCCATTATAATTAGGGTTACAACATACTACCCAGGTACCCGTATACCTGAAGACCCGATCCGTAAATAACACTAACCGGGTCACATTCTTTATAAACCGGTTTTTAGTGTAAAACAGATACCAGTGTAACCTGATATCTGGATATAGTATTTGATTTACGGTTATCCAGACAATCTTTAATTACGAAATCACTCTTTCTTAACACAAGTGAATTATTAAGCATTTTTTTTGGTAATTCAAGGTCTAAGTATCATTACACCTGATTTAGCATTTATTTCTCTAATAAACGTTTTTTTTTATTATGTCTAATTACATGTTAGATAATAACGCGTTTTCTGAAGAGTCACCTATAAATGAATTATTTGTAAATGAAGAGTCGCCTAGAAACGAAGAGCCGCCTAGAAATAAAGAGTCACCTAGGAATGCAGGAAAAAAAAAACGAAAAAAATGAGATAACTCTAGTATCGTGTGGAATTATTTTAAGACTGAAACATTAGAAAGAGGTCTCTTCGATATTTGTCAACTCTGTAAAAAGAAAAACATCCTAGTTAAGTACGCACATGACTTTTCAACGGGAAATATGCTTGGTCATCTTTGGTCTAAGCATCGAATTGATAAAGACCATCCTGAAGAAACAAATACTGATGGCTCTATCGTTAAAGGCTATGTATATTATCACTAAACAGAAACAAGAAAAACTAGCACAATTATTAGTCGAATTTATCATTGAGGATTGTCAACCTCTTCATATTTTACGTAGTTCAACTTTTTGTCGACTTTTAAATAATATGGAACCTGAATTTCAGATCCCTTGTCAAGTAACAGTGAAAAAAATGATTGATCAAGCTTACGATTGGAGTCGTAATCAATTATTTGGTATGATAAATACAGATGGTGTATTTGTTAATCTCACAACTGATCTATGGAGCTCAAGAACAAATCAGGGATATATTGGAGTAACAGCGACGTGGATTGATTCAAACTTTATATTAAAGGAAGCTTTATTGACGATCAAACTACTTTCGTCACCACACACAGCTAAAAGTATCAAAGATTCACTTAATCAAACCATCACCGATTGGGGACTGACAGGACGGGTTTTTTGTATTATAACCGACAATGGTCCTAATATGAAAAAGGCGATTAGTTTAATGAATAATGTTACATGACTATCTTGTGCAGCACATACGCTCCAACTAAGTGTATTGAAAGGTCTTAAACCTGCGGTGCAACTAGTTAAACGTGCAAAGAATCTTATTCTTTTTTTTGCTCAAAGCCCTAAACAATCTGAACGACTTAAAAATGCACAAGAAAAATGCCATTATTCGAAAATTTACCAAGTAATTAACGATGTACCAACACGATGGAACTCTTCATATTTGGCCTGGATTCGACTTAGGGAATTACAAAAAGCAATAGATTACCTTGTTTTAATGTTACCACTAAAATCTGAACGGTGCGACAAACTTGATGGCGAATATTTAAAACTAATAAACCTAACTAAAAATGAATGTCAATTATTAGATGATCTTATCCCATTACTAAAGCCATTCTATGACACTACCACTATATTTTCTGGTTCAAATTATCCTACTCTTAATCTCATTTACCCGACAATGAGATTGCTTATTAAGGAATTTATGCCTTTCTATGGACAAACTGAAGATGATTATGCTAACTTATTATTTGGGCCTAAGGATATAATAGATGATCAAGATCAATTAATTGCTGATAATGAATATTCTGATAAATTGGATGAAGCAGAAATAGATGATGATTCTGAGACACTAATGGTTTTAGAACAACTTCGGCAACCATTACAAGTATCAAAAGGACGAAAAAAAAAACAGGATCGTCGCAGCAGAAATCAAAATAATACTTATCAAAAATATAATGATCCACGATTTAAGGGTCGTCGGTTAATAAAGCATCCTGTTACTACCAAAGAATTGAATGATTTGGTTAAAGCTGCAAGTTATCTTTCTCTTCAACAATATTGGGAAGTCCCTGAGGAAGTTAGACTTGTGGCATCATTTTTGGATCCACAAATAAAGAACCTGAAATTTATTGGTAATGAAATCGTAAAAATAAACATAATCAATACGGTGCAAAAACTTTATATTAAGAAAGAATATCGCCAACCTTCAGTTGAAAAATTTCAAAGAAATAA